AGTTGCTTTTTAACCATTTCAATACTTTTTATTAACATGAAAACTTAGTCTCAAAATATTAAAATGTAATTATTCAAACTGAATTTTTAGTAATATAGATTTTTACTCTGATATGAAAGTAGATGTAGTAATGAAAATAATTACATTCATTCTCTGAGAAACAATCAATTCTGATTAGAAATTTATCCAAAATAAGAGTAATCATTAGATGAGTGCTTTAGAGATTTTCCTGAGAAATGCTGAGGATTTCATTATTAATTTTATTATTAAGTATAATATTTCTTATTATCTTGGCTCATGGTTCAATTTCAAATGATTAGTCTGAAGGTTAAACTATGAAATAACTGGTTTGTTCTTAACTTGAAGTATAAGAATAACATAATACCTGTGATATTCTAGGGTAAAAGGAATTTAGATGAGTAATTTTATATAAGTCTCATGAGATTATTGGAGCACCCCTGATTAATAGTGAGTATATGTTGTAAAATTATATCCTCAATTTTAAAGGAACTAATTTTTCTGGAATATATTCTCTGATACTTACAAATGAAATTTTTAGAAGAGATTGCATTTAAATCTGCTTGGTAGAAAATAAAATTATTTGTAGAAATTTACAGGAGATAATTAAAAACACTTAGTGTCATCATAGTCTTATATACTGAAAAAAGTGGCCATTCTGTTGGAAACTATACTAATTGAAATTCAACCAGCTTTGATTAAATGACTTTCTAAAACCAATTAAAATGAGAAACTACAAACAGAATGTGTTAAATTATCTTATTATAAATCACTGATGTATGGTATCAAGAAAGAAAACACTTGTGTACTGGAGGAAATGGTTTATCATTTCTAGTATACTCTAATAGAAATGATCAACTCTGATGACTAGCACATTCTCCCTAAAAGGCTGCAATGATTCCAGAACTGTTTTTCATTTATTGATAAATTTCAATTATAGCTATACAATTATAATACAAGTACCATATAAATTTAAAATATAGAAATATGCAATGTGAGATGTATAAATACTGGTAGTATCAATTGATTTCAAGGTACTCAAATGTTTTTAATAATTTCTTTTTCTAATTTTTAATTTTTATTACTTCATTTTTACAGTACATAATGGTTACATTCATTGTAAGAATTGATACATGTACATAGCACATCTCAATTCTTTTCTTTTTCCTCTTCCTCCCAACCTCCTCTTATTTTGCCATCATCAGATTCATTTATCTTATAAGTCATTATAAAGTTGTCATATATACAGATTAACAAGACTAATAGGCAAAAAACATATAAAACACAGAAGACAATTATACTAAATCAAGGTATGCTTTTTGATAAATTGTTCATGCTGGATAACAAATTTTTTCTCTCTTTTTTGTGTTATCTGTCTTCTATTTCCTACTTAATTTGTATATTGGCTTTTTATGTGAGAAACCATGTGATATTTAAGGTTGTGTGTCTGATTTACTTAACATAATTTCAAGGTGCATCCATTTTTAATAATTTCTTTGAAAAAGGGTAAACAAGTTTTTCCTATGGCAAGATATTTCTAGGTGGCACACAGGAAAGAAGGTCATTCAGACACCTACCCCAGAATAATAAAGGCCAAAGTGTTTAAAGTGCTTATAACATCTTCTTCTTTGTTCCTTTTCATTATCCATATCACCCCATGTGCTTCCAGTGTCCAGTGTGGCTGTTCCTAAAATATACCCATAGCTCCGTTCTCGGGCTATTCACTCTTACTGCTTCCTCTTTGAACTCTAATTAAGATACTTCTGAGTACCTTTTCCTCAGCAAGGCCTTCTCTAGGTACTCTATTTAAAACTGTATCCCTCTTCTTCTTTATCTCTACAACTAGTTTTTTCTCCCATCATACTTTCTGTCATATTAGTCACTTTACCCATTTATACTTTCTATTGTCTCTCCACCATAGCGTAATCTCCAGAACATTTTTATTCCGCTAGTTAGCTGATGTGTTCTCATGTCCAGAATAATGTCTGATAAATATTTCTTGAAAAAATTTAAGAAATAAAATATTTTCTTATTTTCTCTATAATAGCCATGAAATACTTAATTGAGTCCCTGTAAACCTGCCTCAATTTGTGGCATTTTGGATATGAGTAGAGGTAAGAAAACTAGAATCCATGTGTCATGAGTTCTGTTGTTTGATCAGACAATAGACAGTACTTTATGTAATTTTAGTATCCCAGGAACTATCTTAACATCTTTGCATATACTCAAATAATTTGTCTTACAGAAATCCAATGAAACAGGTAATATTATCAGCTCCATTTTACAATTGAGGAAATTAGAGGTAATAAATTAAGTTTTACTTGGTCAGGCAATTAATGTGTATGAAGGTATGACTCTGGACAGTCTGTTCCAGAAACATATTCTCAAGTGAAGTCTCCATGGTTTAAATGCTACTGAATTCTTGTTTTGAATAGCTTCATTTGTATCCTTTTAATTCACTTTTACTTTTTTTAACATTGGAAAATAGTCATTTCGGTTTAATAATTGACATTTTATAGTCACTTAATGTTTTCCCTTTTTGTAGTGGGATGCCATCACTGAAATGGATGAACACAACAGGCCCATTCATACATACCAGGTTTGCAATGTGATGGAACCAAATCAAAACAACTGGCTTCGTACAAACTGGATCTCTCGTGATGCAGCCCAGAAAATTTATGTGGAAATGAAGTTCACACTGAGAGACTGTAACAGCATCCCATGGGTCTTGGGAACTTGCAAAGAAACATTTAACCTGTATTATATGGAATCAGATGAGTCCCATGGAATTAAATTCAAGCCAAGCCAGTATTCAAAGATTGACACAATTGCTGCTGATGAGAGTTTTACCCAGATGGATTTGGGTGATCGCATCCTCAAACTCAACACTGAAATTCGTGAAGTGGGACCTATAGAAAGAAAAGGCTTTTATCTTGCTTTTCAAGATATTGGGGCATGCATTGCCCTGGTTTCAGTCCGTGTTTTCTACAAAAAGTGCCCCTTCACTGTTCGAAACTTGGCCATGTTTCCTGATACTATACCAAGGGTTGATTCTTCCTCTTTGGTTGAAGTAAAGGGATCTTGTGTGAAGAGTGCTGAAGAGCGTGATACTCCTAAACTATATTGTGGAGCTGATGGAGATTGGCTGGTTCCACTTGGAAGGTGCATCTGTAGTACAGGATATGAAGAAATTGAGGGTTCTTGTCATGGTAAGAAAGAAACACATAACTTATCTTGCATATTCATGATTTTTAAAAAGTAAATGTGTTCTACAAGAATTTTCAAATAAGCATAGAATGAAGTACCTTATAATTAATTGTGAAAGAAAATTCCTAATAACTATAAGAAAATGTCTGACTTTTTTTTCCTGTTGGGAAAAATTTCTCGTATTGTTTTCAGTAAAGGAGTAAACCACTATAAATTTCTGTATCCTCCATTTTTATGGGGAAAAGAAACATCAACAGTAGCAAAAAGTAGTGGAAATTCAAAATAGAGATTTGTCTGATGTTGGTCTTGTCGGATTAGGAACAAAGTTACAAAATAATTCTTTTGTTCATGTCAAACTAAAATAAATGCATAGTATTTTAAGCTAAATTCCTCATGAGGAATTCATAAATGTTTTATATTAAAAACTTTTAGGCTATTTTACACAGATGTTACATGGGTAGTGTTTTAATGTAGAACTTATCAGAGCTTTATTTATACTTTGCTGTTATTGAGAACAATTTTCTACTATATAACCCATTAGCTTTTAAGTTTATTAACAGCATTTGGTAAGAGCTAGTTATCAGGACATATTAGCATCATATAATGCTGGTTAAGTTTAGAACTATACTTTTCACATTGTTTTGACAATGAAATACCAGTAATTTTCAAGATGAAATATTTCCCTTTTTACATTAATAACCCTTTTAGAGTTTATTATAAATACAACAATAATAATTCTACTTTGAACAATCATAAAAGGCAGCCACAGAAATATATTTTTTCATGTATAGAAGATGCTTAAATAAATATAAAAATAAAAATTTAATGGATTA